AAGTAGCAACCAATCAGAAAAGCGTACGTCATGCGCCAGTGGGAAGGTCTACGTCAGTTAGGCCCCGCCCAAACTAAGCCGGAGGAATTTGAAAACGGAGGTTTCACTGTACGTGTGAAAAAAAAACGCATCAAATGTTTTCCGTCCACACCACGTCGAAGGAGGATTTGTGTTTGAGGAAAACTCCGTCAGGGAAATCACATGATTATCGCGACGCCATCGTTTTCGAAAAGCTCCGTTTTCGTGACGGATTAGTGTGGACAGTAGACCTAACCGTAGAAACAAAGCTGCGTTTTCAAATTTCTCCGACATAGTGTGGACGTTGCCTTAGTTCACATACATGTACCTCGTCAGATCTCGAAAACGACCAGTGAAGGTATGAAGATGACAGAAACTAAAAACAAGGATTTAGCTTACTTCTAATTCACTTTCTCCAGTGTTAATCATCAGTTGCTCCATCAGGGATCCAAATACTTCTCGCTCTATACATTACAAATATGGGTTCAAAGCAGGTTAGGGTAAGATTGTGAAAACGTTTCCAACAATTCAAGGAAGAAGTAGACATAGAACAGCTTTCATTTGAGTGTCGCAAAGTAATTGGTTTTGCATCAACTACGCTACACGATTGGCTTAAAAACTCACGCCACTTTTTCAGCCAATCAGAATTAAAACCAAACATCATGACTCGCTCGCACATGTTTTCCCGCGATTTGCGTCAGCTAAATGTAGTTACTTCGAGTTTTGATTGGTTCATTGTAAAATCTGTGTCCTTTGTGACTGGCTAGAGTGATAACTTTAGATTACTTTAGTTTCGGTTTTATGACAGTCAATTGAAAATCGCTCTTTTGCACGTACATGTAGCTTTTATAATAATTTCTTCAACAAGCAGTATTCAATTGAATGTCAAAAGCAATCAGAAATTGCTGTGGTTTTGCTTTACTATGCTGTAAATGAATTGAAATCTTCTGCCACCAATACACCAGTCAGATTCAAAGTCAAGAGTGAACATCACTTGTCATTTCTCATTGGTTCATTCTGTTGTTTGAGCTTGTGTGATCGGCCATGTCGGAGCAGTTTTCAATTGAGTGTGGTAAAACCAAACCCAACCAATTACTTACCAATTAGACTACTTAGCCTTTCTCAAACTAAAGTAAAGTAAAACCAAAACCAAAGTAATTGCCTGACTACTTTCGCCATTCAATTGAAAACTGCTCTATTACTTTGGTTTTGGTTTAAATTTATAACAGTTATTGAAAATTGTTTAAATTACACTCACCAATCAAGGGGTTTACCCTGAGGTCCAGTACACTGACAGTGGAGTTAAACTTTAATACAGGCTGGAAAGCCATTGCTCCTACAGTTGAAATTCCACATTGTTGCATATCTAAAGCTATAGGAGAAGCAATATAAAAAGATACAAATTTTTAACAACTGAATTAAGAATTATGCCAAAATTTGAATTTGAAATCTTAGAGGCTGTGATTTAAATTTTGTTACCTACATGCTGAATGCATTAA